CGAAACGTCGATTATTCCATTACCACTTATCCGGGGTATCGATCGCGGGGAACAGGATACGGCCGCGTCGATATGCATGTACACGCCTATCCACGAACACCGTACCGGCGTGCATATAATACGCGTATAATGAGATGTATATACGTGTACCACGTTCATGCACACCTGAAATCCCGAGCGTAGCGTAAATCAACCTGAACATTATTATGCATTCGCGCGATAACGACCTTGTACACCCTTTAATGCACCGTCACCTGCATTGCTTTTCGTAAAATTCGAGCATCATGGCAGCCCGCGATGCTCCTTTTCGACGCTCGATACGCCACCGGCCTTTCTCTTTCTTCTCCGTCTTTCTTTTTCCGTTTTACTCGCCGTCGATCATCCCCCCATGTATTCAACGACCGCAAAGTAAATTTTTTCAACGAACATTTCCGGCGTCTTTAATAAATTTCCTTAACGAATTCTACGAAAGATGCAAAATTTCTGTCAAGTTTCATCTGAAAACTACTGAAAAATTGATTGTTAACATATAAACAACACAATTCTACCGATATCTTCATTTTCATGAACAACTGAATATTATTTCTAGCCTCATCGACTGAATATACGCGGTAGATATACAAAAGTAACGCTTCCTAGAAATTGTCTCAACGGAAAACCAGAATCCTTGATGTGACAGTGTTCAACCCTTAACCGCGGCCAGTCCGCACGGTGGTTTCCGTTTCGTATAGAATCCGTTTTTACCAGCTGCACGTCAAACATTGTCGGAACCGATATAAATTACATTGTTAATAAATACCGGAATGTATGTTAAGTAATCACGTCGATCAGCCAGATCGCGATAAGTGAGACTGCAATTCAAAACAGGAAAAATCCGTGTGTCGGCCTCCGCCGTTTCCCTTTCCGTTTTACTTTTGTTCGACGCGGCACGTCAGCCTCGATGTTTCCAAACATGATTTGGATAGGTGTTCAACGGCGATACCGATCAAATAGAGCGATTGCGGCTGCAAGTCGGAAGTCACGGTCTTGATTTAACGAGAACAGAAAGCCGCTTTGATGAACGGGAACCCGGAGCACCGTGTATCGATCGAGATATCTCGCGGCGTCGTAATCGATCCCATAATTAACCGTATAATCTACCGGCGAGATTTAAGGTAGAAGGGTCGAAAGGTGAAGGAAGCGCGGGTCCGTGATTGGGCGGAGATAAATTCGGCGAACTTTTCGAGTCTCTCGGTCGGAAATATATCTCCCTTCCCCTATCTCTTTTTCTCTTTCTCTCCCCATCTCGTTCCTTTTTCAGTTGGGATCAATTTAATTACTGCAGACAGAATGGTAATTTACGTTATACCGGACGATTACTTGTAATAATACATCAGGTTTGAAATGGTTCTTTCGAAAAATATATACCGATCGTATACCTCCGATCAGTTGCTCCTGAAGGGAATATACAAAATAAAGAGAACAAACTAACATCGTTTGTGTTTGATGAAAGTGCAGTCGAGTTCTGTCGAGATTTCGTGATCCTTAATATATAATTATATTGATCATCTAAAGAAACAGAAGCTAAAAAATTATCAACAACGATTACTCTCTTAACCTTCTAGCATATCATAGATCTAACAAAATTTGGTTTCTCCAATATATCACTATGAAAATTAATTTTTTAATCTATACGAAATGTCTTACGTCGCCCAAATTCAGGTGACACGGCGGACAAAGTGCCAACATAGTATCTTGATTTACATATTTCTTTTTCTCTGTCGCTATTTCCAAAGGTCTGCAAGAATATTGAGCGACCGCCCAATTTGAATTCATTTATCCAGCTTTTCTCCGCTTTCAATTTCGAGCCAGCACAGACGAGATATGACGTAATTAACGGCCACCATCGTAACCTTATAATGCCGACGGTCCCGCGGTGCGTACACGCGAATCACGTCCACGAATGTTCGCGGCGATCAGAAAACGTTCGACCTGCCGATCGCGTGCATCGCGAAAATTAATCATCGGGAGAACGCCCGGAATAATATTTTCGACCCGGGAACATCCGGCGGCGTGGTCGTTTTATTATCGAACGGTCGTTCAGCCCGGGAAACGTATCGAGTCAGCACATCGTCGAACGAACGCTTGTCCGTGTTCCGATCAGTCAATCGCGGATAGTATTTTTGTTTGCCGTTGCATACGACTCGCCAATCGTCAATTCTGTTCTCGTTTCGGTATCTTGGAACAGATGTTTTCGACTGCAGCATGAATTCGTTAACTTTTAGTTTATTTTTCATTGCCAGTGCAAGACGCCGATGCGTGTGCCTGTATGCATACAGTTGCGCGAACCGTGTTGCAATTTGTAGTAGTGATGATTTTCATTACTTCACCAATATCACTAATAATCTGGACCTTCCTCTAATTACTTATTTTTACCTTAATCTCTTTCGTCATTCCTTGCAACCCTTTTTCTTTAATGAAGAAGATGCACGTTAACCGAGGGTAAATTTACTTAATCATTTCGCGAATCATAAATTTATCATCGCACCGGTTATAATGTGCAACGTTTAAAATGATCGTGTTCCGTTTAAGAAACTCGATGAGTAAATTGTTTTCATGATGTGGACTTCTACTGGTTTTTATACGTCAGTAAAATATTTATAAAATAAAAATAATGTAAATATTGCAACTTACCGTAGCATCCCAGAAGAGATTTGGATAAATATCATTGTTTTCTACGTCGAGTTTGAAGGTAATAAAGTTTCCAGGTGCATGCAGCGATTTAAAATGATAAAACGGTGAAATCTAATGTGATAAAAACAAGAATTTCAATCGTCCGAGTAATGCCTTTTAAATCCTGCAGTAATTTAGGTACCTTGAACATTTCTCAGCCCCTGGGACATTTGAAAACATTATTTTGAGATACGTTGACATCAGCAATTAATTAACGCTTTATTACAACTGAACGGTAAGCCTGATAAAGATCGCAGTTCGGTTTATCTGGAAGCCAGAGCGTGCTGCTGTACACTCGTACTTAATTAACGGTGTCGCGTTTACCTATGCGGCGATATTAACCTTTCCCAGCCAGAGTTAAGGATTATGGTTATAGCGGCGATATAAAATATGACAGCGCTATAACTATAAAAGGATGAGAGCGGTGGTAAATATTCCGTTGGAAATCTATTCCTGTCCAATTTTACGATTACGAATCTGCGATGATTTAACTCTTATGAATCTTGATCAAAGCCAACGGTACGTTTCATCTTTCCTAATGACAGTATCGATTCCTCACCTCGCCGACTTCCTCAAATACCGTATCGTTGTTCTCGAAAAAAAAACAGAATAGGAAAAAACAGCTTCAAAATACGTATAAAACCGACTGTTCGAATAAATCTGATCGAACGGCCAAGAAAAAAAATCAGTGAGAATTCTCAGGTATCACAGTCAATTGTAAAAACAATTAATGTGTATGTATATTTCCATCATAAGTGTGCAGCAACATACAGATTCGGTTTTGTTCTTCGATGTATAGATACAAAGATTATCAACTCGTAAATCGTAGAAACGGGTACAAAGGGAACATCACAAGATCTGTGCGAGCCTTTTCCATCCGAGAAAGGCCGTGTAAATGTACATTATTAAACAAGAGACTTTCAAAGAGTGTTGTGCAGTGATCAGATCGAATCAATATTTCTTTTCGAACTTCGAGTTTAATTCTCCTTATGTTTAATTTTTTGCTTGTCAACCTTCATCCATCCTTTCTTGATCATCCTTTACATTGATATTTCAGCATTGAAATCAACGAACAAATTAATTTGGGGAAACGTTGGACGAATAAAGATTAATCAAATCTTCGTTCGATAGTATCCATTGCGTAATTTGAATCCATAGTATGGCTGACTGAAGTATCAATAGCTAGTTATTTATCGATGGTTAGCATCAATAAATTGCGTATTAATAAGGTCTGTGAAAGAATAAAACTCAAGGAAAGTTTTATCTAGTTGCATTAACATTATAGAAATCGCAGTAGTATTAATTCGTCATCTATGGCTAACAGCGCATCGTGATAGGTTAAACGGGGATCCCACGCTCCGCCCCAAGTCACGTGGCGGTTCGCGCACGCGTGTTGCGGTATTAACTTCGGTCAGCCAAACCACACTACTAATCCTGATTCGCTTGCACAACACTGATCGCAAATATGGACACGCTGCGCGCGCGTTTCGCAATACTCGGAAGTGTAAAGAAGCTCCGTCGACAGAATTGGACCGGATGTGGAAAAATGTTCTAACGTCGTGCGTTCACCTAATCCTCAGTCTCAGCCTTGAAATGATATGTATTCCGGTTCATCGCGATGCTTGCAGCTCCACGAACACGAAGGCACCGTAAATAAACTAACAAAGATCCGAACGGATGGGCCAACGTTAGGAGGAGAAAGTGCAACTGAAAGAAAAGAAGAAAAACTAAAGAAACGAAAAGCAACGAATACGAACGGGTGGAGGCAGCGCGACGAGTGACGGTGAACAAAAGAAAATAAATGAATGCGGCGTGATTCGTTGAAAAATTATATTTTTGTTCCATTCTGGCACGATTCGTAAACACAACATAATTTATAAATTAACATACACAATCGTCGTC